AAAAAAAAAAAAAAGATAAAATAAATAAATAGATAAGTAAAATTTATTTATATAAAGTGTCTTAGGCAATAAAATATAGAATTGTCTCCAACATCATTTAAAATGAATATAAATTAAGTTTTTAGGGCAGGACAAAATAGATATATCCCTAAAAATAACTGAGTATTTGATTGTTAATCTTAGCCCAATACTTCTCAAAGTGTGGTCCCTACACCAGCAGTGTCATCATCTTCTAGGAGATTGCTGGGAATGAAAATTAAATTTCGTAAGCTCATTCTAGACATACAAAATCAAAAGTCTTGAAATAGGAACTGGTTTACCAACCCCTCCAGGGAATTCTATGCACACTTCTGTGAGAAGCATTGCTATGTACATTTTCAGACTTCTCATTATTACTAAATATTACTAAATAAATAGTAATTATTACTATACTATTATTAAACATGGACTTGAAACTGTCTGATGAATTTTGCGTTGTTCAGCTTAGTATCCATAAACAGTGAAAATTAAATTATCTGAAGTTATTTTTATTATGTTAGACTTATTTTATCCTATTTTTCCACATCTCCAATTTGGATCCTTTGATTATCTATTCTTCTTCTCTTTTAACTTGGGTAATTTTCAAAATGTGTTTTTAACTCTTCGCTGATTCGCTAGGAAAATGCCTGTTTGTGTTTATTTTTAAGGGGACAAAATGTTGTGTTTATTTTTAAGGGGACAAAATGTATAAGCAGGATGATTGCCAACCCAAATCTGATGCCACATAATCTATTTATGTTATTTTTTTGCATTTTATAAATTAATGTTAAATGCATAGAACTGGTAATATTTATGCTACTCAAACTCAAAGAGAGGTATCCAGGAAAGCTTCCATTTATACTGGCTTCCAGAAGGAAAGAAAAAGATCTATCAGTGTTCTAGGAAAGGATGAAGACATTTAAATCATCAAAGCTTGTACCTTAGAAAAAATTTGTATTATGTCTTTTCCTCAATATTACATTTAAATGTATTAAGATCAACAAAAATTTGATAACAGATTGTATATTTGTTTTAAATTCATTCTGAAATATATTTGCATTATTTCGATTTACTACTCAAAATGAACACTAGGTGAAATTACTTCTTTTCTTTCTATTCAGACAGTTCTTGTGTGAATCCGCCCACCGTACAAAATGCTTATATGAGGGAAAGACAGAAGAATAGATATTCATCTGGTGACAGAGTACATTATGAATGTAGGAGACCTTATGAAATGTTTGGGGATGCAGAAGTGATATGTGTAAATGGAAACTGGACAGAAGCACCTCAGTGCAAAGGTAGAGTATTATATTTCCTTTAACATTTTTGGAGAGTACAG